TCTTTCCCTCCCACCCTCTGGCATGCCCCCCACCTGTCTATATGTCCTTCCCCTGCCCACTTGTGAGTTCTACTCTCCCCACCACCTGCAGCCCTTTTCCCAGTGGCCCTGGGCAGTGTGTGTAGCTGGGAGCATGGTGGAGCACTAGCAAATAAGTGTGTGTGGGGTGTGTGTGACAGCAGTGGGTTATGCCAGAAGTCCTGGGCCAAGGCAGCCGCCCTTCCTCAGGAGACGCTGATGCCAGCCCTGATGGAGAGCACACAGCATTACCCAGCGTTCTTCTCTCTTCCATCACCTCTTCCAACCAAAGGAACTTCCAGAAAGATCGTTTCTGGGAGTCACAGGATCCATACAGAACAGCTAATAGGCTGTCGAGTGGGAAAGGACAGTGAGATGAAAGTGTAGAGTGGCACTGGCGGAGGAAAGAAGAGGTGTGATTTCATCCCCTTCTCCTTTCCTCACTCCGGATCCCCGGATCCCCCCCTTGACTATTCCTCCGCAAGGGCCCCACGAGGCTGGGAACGGTCGGTCCAGAGGATTGAAAGGAGCTGCAGGAACAGAGAGGAGTGCATTCTACGCAAGGAGTGGCAGGATCCAGTCCACTAAAATTCTCTCGCCGGCATAAAACGGGGAAATAAGTTTTTACTATCCAGATTTCTGTCCATCAGGTTTATCTGTTAAACGACATTGGCTGCGGCTCCCCACAAATACATCGGAACAGAACAACAGGATTTTACCGGTCATTACCAGAGTTATACAATTAGTATCTATAAATGGTTTAACTAACAGACAAGGGGACTCCAGCCTCCCTGTGTTCAAGCAACCGCCAACGGTTTCCTGGATGAGCGGAGATCTAGCACTACGGTCTGGGGCGCAACACCTACTGGCGATGCCAGGCCCCAAAGAGGCCAGGCTGGCTGCTACCAGGGCCAAAGCTTTCTCGGTGGCGGCTCCTACCTGGTGGAATGAGCTCCCGGAGGAGATCCGGGCCCTGCGGGGCCTTGCACAGTTCCGCAGGGCCTGCAAGACGGAGCTCTTCCGCCAGGCGTATGAGTAGGAGCCGCCACTACCATCATTATTGTTCCATCATAGCCTGGCCCTGGAATAAGGAACATCAGCGTTCTCCAAAGCAGATGACGCAGAACTGGCAGAGCAGCTGTAATCCGCCATCTTGGGAAATGTCATGTGAGAACAACTAGAGCACTTTATTAATAATAATGTTATTGTATTGTTGATATTTTAAATGGTTTTAACTATGTTTTATATTGGCGCGTGCCTCCGTGTAAGCTGCCCTGAGCCCGCACAGCGGGGAGGGCGGGGTATAAATTGAACCTATAAATATAAATAAATACAATTGGCAATAAGGTACCAAACTTTTCCAAAGTTTAATACATGTCTACTTGTGTATGTCTGCATGTATACACACAAAGAGACACAAATTACATTTGTTTACCTATATTGTAAACACACACGCCGATAATAATAGATTTTCTAAGGCTGATTCACACAGAGAAGACTGATGATTTTTTAAAAAGCATTCACCAGTATATGTAACGAGTGAATACAACAAACATGTATACCATTCAGGTGCACTCACTGGGAAAATGGGATTGGCTGAAGCACCCTGATACACATACTTTTGAAGGTGGAAAACTTACATATGGGAAAGAACCATTAAGAGGGTTCTGGCTGATACAATGAGCAAGACTACTGTGCCTTTTTATAAAGTGAGTAGGATTACCGTTTATGCGTGTAGAACACATGTTAGTGTTCATTGTGTATACTGTGCCTCCTTTTTTCTTTTTCTTTTTTGCATTGTTCCTTAATTTTGTTGGGCACCTTTATTAGCAGCCCTGTTTGCAAGTTACAGTGAACACATGCACGACCTGCATGTACGCATGCTGATACCTAGCTATTTGTCAGAAACAGTCAATGCACATTCACTTGACAAATGAACAAGTAAGGATGTAAGGATGAGCATTAAATGTGTTAAATCACACACTGAGCTTTAAGTGTATTGAAAATAACATGAGAATTACTCGATAGGCATACAAAGAAAAAACAAGCATACACAGTACACGAAAGGTACTCACATTCACTGTAACTTGCGAATGCTTATTGGATATAATAAAATGCTTCACTGTATTGTTCTCCAATCTCGTAAACCGGCTTTATTTTGTGTTTATCGTTCTTGTAGCGTGTCATTCTCTCATTAAGTCCTGCTTATAAGTTTCAGTGAATGTGGCACAAACCGTGAGCAGCGTGACAAAGGCATGAAGGGATCTAGGACTCTGGAAAGCTTCTACCCTGAAAAACTTGTCAGCCTTAAAGGTGCTACTGGACTCAAATCTTGCTCAGCGTACACTTGGCTTTTCTTTATACATGCATGGAGGGAAACTAGAGGCAGCAAGGAGGAACTCTCGATTCCATCGTTTATGCCCAACCTCTTAATATCAGTTTAAGAGATTCAACACCGTAGTCTCCGCAACTGCCTTAACTCAAGCCAACAGTAACCGAGCATTCCGAAAACAGTAGCAACTGCACTACATGAGAACGGAGCTCATCTTTACTACATTACACCATTGCCTCCTCAAAAGCAACACACGTTTTGTTTCTTGCAAGAAACTTATGTCTATGCAAAGAAAACAAAAACCTCTCCATTTGAAAGGGAGCCTAAAAATCATCAGAAGATAAGTTGTGGTTTCAGCTGCAGCCACCAGATGGCAGCACCCTGCACAGTGAAGCCTTGCTTCCTGGTAGCAACTGTACAAAGAGAAGGAAAGAATGAATATGAAGGGGAAGGGGATGAATACGCAGCCGGTTTCAGAACAGGTTGCTTTGGGACGCCATGTTAACCATGCTGGAGGGTCAGTGGCCTTGCCTCGGTACTTTCATCTCTTGGTCCTTCACGCTTTTGATCTTCGGGATCTCTTCC